TGTGATTGTATCGAGACGTAAATTGAATCGATATACGTTTCGACATTTTTAATATTTGATGTTTTAACGAATGAAAAAAAGCGACGCAGTTCCACGGCCTAACAACACACACACATAACGTGGAAAATACGTCGTGCACGGTACACTAACACATCGTCAGTCGCTGACAAATTATTACATTACTTAATTCTAGATCATCGTGCCCAGTGTCTTTCTCCCATTCAAGTAGCACCTGGGCACGTGAATGAGATCCTGACAATGGGCACGGAAAGGGTTAAACCTGAAAATCCTGATCTAAAAGATGATTAGTATATCTGCTTTATATGCATCTAACGGACTACTATTCTTTCATTTTGTATTTATTCATTATATTTGAAATTATTGTGAATCTATGTTAATTTACTTAACTTAATAGTTTAATAAATTATTTAAATTCTACTATTGTAAAAAAGATAGGCAAAGGATTTGTTTATGAAAGAGAACACTAAAACTCAAAGCAATATAATAATAGACTGCAGTTTAAACATTAATGTTAAGTAATCTCAGGCGATCTCTTCATCAAAGCATATTTTCGAAATCACGAAAAAGTGTTTAAAATTTGTTGCTTTGATTCCAAAATCTGCCTGCCGCGAAATTTCTTCTTGCACATAAAAAATACATTTTTGTACGGAAAGAAGTGGACTTTAACAAACAAATTATATATAATATATATTGCCATCATTGTAGTTCTAATATTTTTGTGACAAAGTCATAGGATATTGTACTTCCCCGTCGCAAAAAAATTAATTCAAGTAATTTCAACATTTATTATGTATTCAAATATTCATTCATTTTATTTATACGCGTACTTATATCCATATGAATATATTTGATTTCATTCATGATCATTCATAATTAATTAATCAATTACTAACACTACACAACATTATTCGTGTTAATAAAAAAACGCGATGTGCAAGAAGACCTATCCTGAACTAATAAATAAAACACATAAAAAGGAAATATGTATTACCACTCACGGGTATAATAAATACTCGCAGTCACTATGCTCGTAAAAAATTCTACGTGATACAACCAGTCACCCGTGTCGATTCGGACCTTTCATCCTACGACATGATTGAGTGACCAGAGGAACAAAAAGCATGCGACTCACAGTTACATACGAAGAACGATGTCGACAATGTTGACGTAGCTCAGAGGAAACCACCGTGAAGGCCGTCATCCCGGAAGAATCATCAAACCTTACAGTAGAAGTACAGGTTGTGAAATATCTGTAACAAAACATGGAATAGTATATATATAATCTATTGTTGAAGACAAAATTTTATAGTTTATTAATGTAATAAGAAAGAATAAACATTTCCAGCAAATTTTATTTCTTGATTAGTTAATTATAATTTAAAAAAAATGAAAGAAACAGAATTAATTGAAGTACCTACATTTCTAGCTTTTGAAGCGCCATAAGATCCTATCCAGAGAACAAGAGGAAGTGCTGCAGATCATGAAAAAGCTGGAACAAAATATGTAACATTATAATTTATTCTTAAAACCACAGTGTTGATTGTTTGAAAAGTTCAAGAAAATGAAGCATGAAATTCTATTAAACTTAAAACTTTGACAATAATCAAAATTGAAATTCTAATAAACTGTAATTACTATAAGGACTGAAACTCTAATAGAACAATTCAAAATTTAGATTTTGTAATCCAATATTGAAACTTTGAGACTTCATTCCAATATATATTAAAGTAATTCAAGCAATATACAAAGAACAAACTAAATTGGTAAATAATGTGCAAAGATACTTACATTGCCAGTCTCCAAGAGAGGGTTTATCCTCTTGAGCACTGACTCGAATACCGAAAACGAATATATAAAAAAATAAACTATATACAAAAAGAGAAATAAAAAATTACCAACGCGCCCGATAAATAACCAACGAACAAACACTGACTCTAATTTCGCGTATAACTATTACACTTAGTACTAATAAGAGCTATTTTGCTCGAAAAAATATTGAAATTACAATTACGAAATAAACACTGATTCTACTAATCGCATTGCACGCGATCACAAAAACATTCTCTGGAAGTAAAATTGTGTTAGGAGAAGGTGGGCTGTAGGGAAGGAAGCAAAACATGTTTACATGTTTTCCTTCTTCCTCTTACTGAGCTTTTGTTTTGAAAAGTACAGCTGTTTGCTGCTGTCATAAAATTACATATTAAAACGATGTCTGAAAAAGCGCAAAATATTGTTTACAAATATTACAAAGTTCGCATCTCTACACTGAACATTGACGAATACTCTAAATGCAATATAACTGGTTTTAGGGATTATATTGTGTTATCAAAGGCTGATATATATCTTTTAGTAGTAAACTGTATCACATTTATAAATACACGAAAATTTTTGCAACAAATCCGGAATTGCTTGACAAAACAGTTGCTTGAACAGCAAATATTACGCGCCAAAAACTGAACTTGTAATGGCGTCTTCTTTAGAAACAACAAAAATTATTGATAAAAGTCGTGAGATGGCGATACTATAGGAAATTCACGCGGGAAACGAAACAAAGTGATTGGTTGCAATCTCCTAATGTAGAATATACATATATATACAATAAAATTAAGTCAATCGACTTCAAATTAAAGTAAATTAAAAAATCTATTCAAACTATATGTAGATCGAAACAATGAAATAATTCGTTTAATTTTTTTCGAAACGAAGGATTAGCAAAGTGAATTCTATAATTGTTTCCAATTTCATCTTAATATTCTCAAATATGAAATTATTCTTTAGTTCAATTATATTACATATTAACTATATAGTGCAAAGGTACGTATCAAATAAGTATTATACAATAAATACGTAATTGTATTACCAATGATCCAATGCAAAGATAATATAAACGTATGTATAAGTCTGCTTTCGTTACAATAATTAAAACATTTTATCATTCTAACAAACCTAACTCAATCTCCATGAGAAGCTGACAAATTGACTGTTAATCATCATGGCGTCCAAACGACGCTATTTTGAATTCCCAGTTATCGTCCCGCTATGGTCGAGCAACCTGCATAAAAGAAAATCATCAGTTTAAAACAACCATATAGAATTATAATCAAAATGAGACAGAAACAATTCTAACTCGAAAGTTAGAAGAAGAACCAAACATACGATCGAGAGAAGAAAAAGAATAAAAAAGAATTTCAAATATTATTTAACTTTGTTATAATAATGTATAATAAATTAATAAGCGAATAACTGTTAACAACACAAACCTAATAATAGCGTACGGAGACAGCGGAATACGAGTGAAGATACTACGCAGTTAATTAATAAATCGCGAACAACGAAAATTGACAGGTCCTTACACGACGACTTTCGACACCGCAATGACGCTCCCCGCGACCCGTTCGCCTATCAAATGTCGGACGGGTGGGGATGTGTTTATGCCGCGGGAAGTCGATCGTGTCGAATTAACTAATTTCCGAATATATATGTATCTCTACATTGGACATTAACAAATACTCGAAATGCAATATGACTGATTTTAGAGATTATGCTATCTGTTACCGAAAGCTGAGATATGTGTTCTAGTAATAAACTGTATCACATTTTATAAATACTCAAAAATCTTTGCAACAAATCCGGAATTCCTTGGCAAAATAGTTGCTTGAAGAGTACGATAATGCTACGCGCCAAAAACTGAACTTGTAATGGCGTCTTCTTTAGAAACAATAAAAATTATTGATAAAAGTCGTGAGATGGTGATGCTACAGAACATTCTCGCAGGAAATGCAGTATAGTATGACTTATTGCAATCTCTCAAAGACATATATACATACAATAAAATTAAATAAATCAACATTAAATTAAATTAAGAAGGCTATTAAAAAATATTTACTATCGAAGTCAATCAAGGAAACAGTACGAAAGAAGTAGAAAAGTCTATTAAGGACATTCATTCTAATCGTTCAGAATTCTATTTTTAAGATATATGTGAATCGAAGCAATGGAATAATTCGTTTAATTTTTTTCGGAGCGAAGAAATGACTTAATATATTCGAACTAGCAAAATGAATTCTATAATTTTTTCTAATGTCACCTTAGTGTTCTCAAATATGAAATTGTTTGTTAACTCAATTGCACTACATATCAATTATATAATGTAAAGATATAAAATAAATACAATAACCGACTTCAAATTCTAGCCGGAAGCTAATAATACAAACTATCGATAATTCTAATAACCAAATACACCATCGAGAAAAAAGAACGAAAAAGAATTTCAAATATTATTTAATTTTGTTGTAATAATGTATAATAATTTAATAAGCGAACGAATGTTAATAATACAAACCTAATAATAGGAATAGGAGTGGAAATACTATGCAATTAATTAATACGTCTCAAACAACAAGAATTGACAGATCCTAACAATACGTATATAAACATATGTATATATATTTCGCCATTAATTGCCCTATGGGGGGGAGGGGAGATGTGTTTACGTGGCGGTAAGTACATCGTGTCGGATCAACGAATTTAAAAAAAAACTGTCTTGTGTGATGAAGCAAAGAAATGTTTTCAACAGCGATGATATCATGTTACGCAATAAGGAAACAACACGTACGTTTTGAAACGAATATAAATACATATTAGAAAATAATGCGTTTACTAATTAAATTTCATTATATAGAAGATGCGAATGCCTGAAGTTAAGTTTGGAAAATTTATAAATTGGAATGAAATATTATAATGGGTCGTAAGAATTAAAAACTTATAATTATTACTGTAAAAGCAGCTGCAATCGCCGACGATCCTTAATCGATGATATCATATACGAGGTTATTGACTATACATTTAAACTATGTACACATATATGCGTATGTATTTGTTGGTATTCGTAACTACCAGCAATACTGCAATCATAATCATGCATTTTTAATTAATAATCATCTGTAGATATGATCGCGTATCTATTTATCGGCTGACATTATTGAGATTAAGGTTAAAATTTCTACACTTTTACGTATAAATTATGTATATATTATGGTTATATTTTGATAAAGCAATAATTATAAATTTAGGTTTATTATTATAAATAGAAGGCTATCACATTGTATCATAAGTTTTAGTCTATCATTATAGAAATTTATGATTGATATATTTTTACATAATATATATGATATCATAATATGCTTGCATTATAATATTTAACACATTTATATACAATTACAACAGTAATTGTATATTTATTTATATATTTAAATTTTACTGACTGCTAGATATACTATGTTACAAAACATTCTAACATGTGGCCTCTTGGTCTAGGGGTATGATTCCTGCTTTGGGTGCAGGAGGTCCCGGGTTCAAATCCCGGAGGGGCCCAATTTTTTTTATGCTGATATAAGTTTTGTATCCAAAAATACTGTAAAGTAATATACATGTATACAAAGCATTAAGTAAGCTCTATTATATGAAGTATTGTCTATTGGAAGTAAGTAACATTATATACAATTAAAAGAAACATATATTTTCTGTTGATATGTAGATATAAACGTGTGAAATTATAAATATACACGACTTTAATGCTGATAACAAATTGTTTCTCAACATCCTGTTTTAACAAATTTTCTGTTATTTACTTTTTAGTAATAAACAAGAGGGTTTTCATTTTACAAACCTAATTTTTTAAACTTATATTATCATTCTTCATTAAAAATGTAAAAGGTATACATATTTTCATTTAATAATATACTTTAGGTTCCATTAAAAAATATGGTAAATAAAATTCGTGACGTTGTGTTATTTCAACGCGGTTAGAAAATTAATAAAAGTTTCATTAACGAGCACAAAGTTGGTAGACTTAAATTAGCAAGTTCAAATTGCGCGCGGTATGTTTTCCTACTCCGGAGAAAGTCAAGATGGCGGATAGCGGCCAGTACGCAGTGCGCATGCACCAGTTCCTCAATGGTCGGGCAAAAACACAGCTGGTCTATGATCTCCGAAGGAAGCTGACGGTCGAACGCTATCAATGTGATTTTCGTGAAATTCTTACCGATCTACCGGTCAGATCGTGAGGTCAAGGCAAGCGTGCGCGTAAAATTCGTTCAGTGCTCGGCTCGTAGTGTCAGTGAGTGTGTTTAGATGTATACAAAACTCGTTAATCGCGGTGTCACCACGAGGATTTTTCACTGCCCTGGATACAAAGGAGTTTCGTGAGGTGCTTCGAGCGTCCTTTCGGTAAGTTTATCAAAACATCTACTTTAAATATTCGTCGCATCGGAGTCTCCTATGTCGCGTGTGTTATCGAATATTCGGTCAATCCGCAGAGCCAAGTGACTTTTTTCGATTTACCGAAAATTACATCGCGTGTCTATCAATATTTTCAGCGACTCTACGTTTTCCAGACTACCAAAATTCGTACTAAAATTCGGATAAAACAAAGTTCGTGGTATATTTCGTAGGATAAATTCTCTAAACAATTTCTATAAGCAAAATGATATTTTAAGTAGCAAAAACTCGAGGGATATGGCATGCAGCATCTTCAGAAATAGGTCAGAACAAAGTTTTCGTAATCTGGTCGCGAGGTTCCGGACAGGTATCGCCTGTTGAGAGAGAAAGATTCTTATCGTGCGTTATCTCTCGTTGCTCCCTTTGCATGTGGAACCCTTGGAAATGAACTGCCTTTATTATCCCTCGGATTACACCAAAAAATCACAGTTCTCTGTTGAATTTTTCTTTTAGTTACGCAGCGTATATACTTAGATATAACCACTCTGTGACTATTTACAACTTGCAAACGGAAAATTTCCAACACGAAATCGCAGCTGAAAGCAATTCTTGAACAAGCGCGGCAAGTGATGAAGAAAAATATGTATATCTTAAAATCTTAATCTTGTGCTCGTCGCACGGTCGTTCTCGTTGTTCTTGTGTTCGCTGGTGTTTACGTACAAACACAGCTGTGCCATAATTCCATGGATAACGTTATCGCGCTACCGTAGTATCTATATAATATTGAGGTCTTGAACCTCGGCGTCTGTACAACTATTTTTACATTCTCGGTATGCTCTGTCACCGCGCGCGCGGCATCGAGAGTGGAATCCGGCTGTTGTCGAGCGGTGCACGGCCGTGGTACAGTCCTTAGGACTCTGACCTTGTCCTATGCAAAACGATACCTTCCCGTTCTAGTCATGCTTTTAAACGGTGTACCAATTAACCGTCCACTCGGTGTTGCGGTTTAATTAGTTACTCCAACGAAGACGAATAACGGACCGGCTAATCGACCATTGTTCAAAACACACGATAAATTTCGTGTTTCTTTCTAGCTTGATTTTCTATGTTCCTCTCGTTTGCTCGTACATCGGCTATGGTGTTGTCTTTATCGTTCCTCTTTCCTGCTTACTGTTTCTCACGGTATCGATGCCCATTATCGTTGAACTTCGAACGTTTACTTTCGATCTCCAGTTTTTCAGCATCGATCCGTCCATGCACCTATTACAGTGCTGCGGAATGGCTTGACTACCGATATCCGTATACTGGGTGTTTCACAACGAGCGTGAGGAATGTTGGTTGTCTGTGAACTTTTAGAGAATACACAGCGTTGTAAAGTATTGTATTTACATAAATTATTACTCGGTAACAATTGAATTCATAAAAATAAGTTCTTTGTCTTCTGGGATGTTGATTATATAATAGATTATGTTGCTATCGATGGTGTGCTGGCTAATGAAATAGATATCTTCATGTGAAATGGAGTTGATCAGTCTGGTTCTCATTAATAGAAGCGAGCATATAAACGAAGAAATTCTTACTTACACGTTTAAGTAATTATGAGAAGTTTTACTTCTAGTTGTATTTCTATAATATGAGATAGGATATAAGAAAGTACGATAAATGGATAGTAATAAATTATATACGTAACAAGTAGTAAATCGTGTTCAATGTTTGGTATATGGACTTTCGCTATTTTTCTGCTCGTTACTGTAAATATCAAAAATATAATCTAGGATTCATTTTCTACTTCGGCCAAGTTCACGAGCAAGAACGAACATTTCTCGCGCTCATTCTACTTGCGATTTCTTAACCTGTTCGGAAATGGACGAATTTATAACGGTCGGAGAAAAATAATTATCTTTTACTCTTACATTATATTTATCCAAACGCTATTATTATAATTTTTCGATTATATTTGTACGAAACATACATTTACAAATATTTTTAATGGATTCGACGATATGAGAAAACAGTAGTTTGTATCTTCTTGGGATCATGGTTGAATTAAAAGGTTAAGATATTTCTAGAGCAATGATTAAACTACTTGCAGGGATTTTACTACTATAAGAGGTATAAAATATCTCATTATCATTCTCAAATAATAATAATAGAACTTTTATACACAACACAATTGCACAAAACCTTACACTTATTTTTGCAACGTCATGTATAACTGGTAGGGTGTCGCAAAGAAGCGAAGGCAACATATGATCGCCGATATAAGAAACAAAGAGCAGCGTGTTCTTTTCGAGACGTTAATTTCGACCGGCCAGCTGTTACCATTCTATATAGCGACTCCCGTATCGATAATTAACCGGCCGTTAAAAATGCGCACCCGTTCACAGCGCAAGGTTGACGTGTCAAGTTTCACGGTGTACTCGTTGCGTTCAGATTTGATCCAATTCGCTGGTGAATTCCCCTGATGAAATTCCATCAGATAAATTTACCTATAATGACAGTATGAGCAACGGTATCTCAATGCAGAAACGCGGAAAGAATCGCTGTCAAAGTTGTTCCGTTTCCGTCGGCTAGTAGGTGTCAGCTCGTGAAGAACTTTATTGACCAACCAGGCGCATCGCGGTCGCAGAGTTAAGCCAGAGACCTCGTAAAAAGTCCCGTCTTTACGCGACGTGCTAGAAATCGTACCTTATCCCGCTGAAGAATCACGTCGTTCATTTGCTAGAGAAACAACATAAATAAGAAATGCAATTTTTTTAGGAAATTTTACGAAATTTTCAGAGTTGGAATAGAATATTTCGAGTAGAAAATTCTTTAGTAGCTGAACGAAGAAAAGATTTCTTTCGTTTAATATTTAGTTAACGATACCTATGTACATATTTGGCTTTTAGGTTGGATTGGAAGTACATGTTCAAATATCTTTAAGTCTGTCTTTAGATTTTAGATTAGATTTATAGTATTTAGTATCTTCGTAGTGAATTTCTGTAGATATCTCGAATAGATATGTTATTTGTTTTATCATAGGAACGGTTTTTTAAATTTATATTTGTAAATATTATTTAACTCTTATCATGTCCATTGATAGCTCGACGTTTATAGTTCTCCGCAAGAATATCACTTGTATTCATCAAAAGGAAAGTAGTTTGTTCACTTAATCTTAATATCCTCGATTGTAACTATCATAATCCAGCAACGTGTACATATTACGTGCTGTTATAATAGCACAACTATGCTGTAGCTTATTGTATTAGTTCTTATATAATATTCTTATATAATACTCTCATTAACTCAAGTAATCATACCGCAGAATCGTTTGAATCATTTTCTTGTTTTTGATATTTTCTCATTCTTTTGTTGCTACATCAAAGCCTAATGCTGTCTCATAATATACAAGTTTGATTATTCTCACGCAAAGTTTAAGATTGAATATTGTACCGATTTAGGCGTCTGAAACCACCCTACCTTGCTATATCCCATTCAGTGAAGTTGGCCAAAGGCGAAAGAAACAAGGACGTTCGTTTCACCAGCGTATTACGCCGGAAACGAAAGCAGAAGCGGAGAAATTTTTCGATCCTCGATCGATCGAAAGACAAATCATCGTCCATTAAATTATTCGTCTATAAATATATAGTGTAGTGGCATAAATTTTCGAAAGAGCCGGTGCTCTATGTAAGTTGTCCTCGCTCGGTATATTTTTTGCACGAGCTCGATGTATCCTTGAACCTTCGAGGGTCAGACATTTCGTGCAAAAACCCAACGTCCACGCGAGGACCCATGTCCGTCGGGAAGTGGATGAATTTACCAGTGACCTCTATAAATTCCACGGTGTTCGTGTACCACGGGGAGATGTCGCCCCGACTAGCGCGATTTAGCGATCCAGTGGGTCGAAACGTTCGAACCGTGGACATATTAAAATTGAAAGTCACATGTGTGCTTACCTAGCTAGCCGATGCTTTCGTTCGAGCCACTTATTACATTTCTCCTTCGTCGTTATGTAATGCATTTTTCGCGCTTATGTTTCTCTGTTTTTCTGTTCGAAATAGCCTGGAAGAAATGGCCGAATTAATTCGAGCGCGCGACGCGCCTGGTTAGACGAACTCGCTGTAAATGTGGCCATTGCTTAGCATTGTATCGCGATAACTTTCACAATGGTTCGTTATTGTGGCTCAATGTTCGAACATTTATGGGGTCTTTTTATGAACATGTTACGTTTTTGTACGTTATTGTTTTGGAATTTCGTTAACGGTGTAACGAAACTCGACTATTATCTTTACATTGGTAAAATTTGAGGCGAATTTGAAAAATTACGTAGAAATTACAAAATACCTAAGAAACCTAGTAACAAATTGGTATACGGCACGAACAGTGATCTTAGACGTACGATTAATGCTAATGATCTCGCTAAATATTATGGCATACTAATATAATGAATAATCGATTAAACAAATACTTTGATAGTTGGTATTTCCTGGATCTTTGAAATAATAATTTATGTTATGGAATATTTTCCAATAATACATTGTCGTTTTCTGCAGTATCAATATTCGCATTCTTGGCTGATGTGGAATTTGCTAGTTATTACATGCTTACATTTTTATTTAATGAATTTTATGAATGCAAAAGGTAAACACATTTAGCGTCTTCGTAATGAACATGGAAATAGTAGTTTAATATCATTAATGGTTTTTGCAAGTATGATATTTTTCAATATCTTGACGCGGACGGTTTATAACTGAAAATTTGTAACAAGAAAAGAATGTGGGACAGTAAATCGTGGCGCACTTAACCTAGTTTTTCATCGTATGATTTAAACAATATTAGCCGTGCATATAAATGATACAGGTACACGTGTGATCGCATTGTTAATTATGTATTTACTCGCATATTAATTAGATGCAATATCAATAATTCATTATTTATTATTTATCATATTCATTATTTATCTGACTGATTCGTTGCTATTGAGCATTTGTGTTATTTTATTAACAATTAATAAGTTATCTTTTTAT